TGAGCAGGCACAGTGGAAGAGGGTAGCCGAGACAGGACTTAGGAACCGGAACTTGGAGCAGGATTTTAAACTGGTCTCCTCCTGGAGCCAGGCTTACTTAGACAAAAACTGAACCTCCCCCCATAATGAGCCAAAAACCCAGAGGACTCCGCAGGGGAGGAACAGTGGACGATCAGGAGACAAGACAAACACTAAAACCCTCTTTCCACTGGCAGCTAGGATCCAGGACATGAACCATCAAATCAAAGTGAACAGACAGACTAACAAAAAGACAAGCAATGATCTGGGGCTGAATGCTCAGGATGAACTGAATATAAACCAGAGGAAACAGGTGAGAGGAATAAATTATGAATGAGGCAGGGAAGGAAGAGGGCAGGTGAGAGGAATTACTAATTAAGGGAGAACAAACAGGCCAGATCATGACACATTGTTCTTATGTATTACCAGGGGGGAAAAAATATATTGAATTATTTATTTAAAAAAAATCTGTTTAGTCGTATGACTAATTTTGGACATATCTGTAACAAATCATAGTTATTGGTTATTTACAAAGCTATACACTGAAGCATAAGTATTTTTCATAAGATACCTTGTTCTTGTACCCCCATGTTAACGTGAGTTGTGCTTGATCTCCATTCAAGATGTCCATATAGTGACGACAGATACCTCTCCTCCCTGGTCCCTGTTGGTTCCTCCTCTGGACTGGAATTTCCAAGTCACTATCGGCGTTTTATTTTCAAAATGTTCACCTTTGTGAACACCCATACAATGGAGCCTCTGAGAGAAAACGTAATAATTTCAGCACCCTAACCAAAACAAGTCTATTATATTTTTCTGACAAATAAGTTCAAATAATGTCTTTCTTTTCCAGGTGTACATTCACTGTAGCACATCAGTGTGTGTGTCAGGGCAGGGTATAAACTGTGAACCGTCATGCCGCAGCGGCAAAGGAAGTAAGTGATTTATTAATTAAGGAAGAAAACAGCAAAAAGATCATGATGAATGGATGTCCAGATGTAACGATATATTTTATGTCATGCAGAGAGAGACACAGCGGCTGCAGAGCAATGGAACGCTCAACCAAAGATTGTGGTTTCGTCTGGAGAAATGATCATGACTGCCCCTCAGGAGTAAACAGAGACAAACGCAGGGGGTCAATTGGGAACATAAAGGCAAATCACTTCATATATTGAAGCAGTTGTTGAACAGTGAATAAAAATGATCTATGGTCATACAATACATAACCAACACATGATGATCAGTTGATTTCAGTCCTCTTTACGAATTTAGGAACTTGATGAAATATTTAAGACTTTGTGTTTTTATTGTGAGTTTGCATTTACAAATGACTACATAGATTCTCCAAAGATGTCGAAGCGAGTACAAAGAGACCAAACTGCAAAGAAAAATCTCCTTAATGAGAACAACAACTGTTAGAAACTACTGTTAAATGCATGATAGGAAACGTAACAGAAAAAGGGACAAAGAGATTAAAAAAAAACAAAAAACAGATAAATTGTTTATGTTCCATTTTTTCCCGATAAAATTTTTTCTGGCTTTTTTTCAATAAACCCATATAATGTGGCAGTATGTTAAGGGAATCTAAAATAAAATTATATGTATGCACCCACATATGCAAAAATCAAGAGATCTAGTCATAAACAGGAGACAGTCTTTTTTCCAACATTACTGAGACTTTCAAAGAGCAGCTGGAATCACAGTGAGTTTCAATTTCTCACAGGTAGACTCTATTTTTGACTTCTAAAGAAAATACAGGAGGCTGCACTGAGTTTTATTTGGTGGATACAAACAAAGAGGCCCCCAACACTTTTCAGACTTTCATTTGAAAGCTAAAGCTTCAGTTTTACACTCCTTTGTGTTGGTCTATCACCCAAAACCTCTGTAAAATTGCATTGGTGCCTGTAATTCTAATGAGATGACAGGATGAGGAAGAAGTCAGAGCATTTCACAAAAATGTGGCCCCAAAAGAACATTTTCACAAATAAAAACTGTTCTTGCTCCTGCTGGTAAAACAAACAGCAACAAACCTGAGCTCATTTTAAATGGTTAACGCGACCCTAAAGGTATCACCAGAATTAAACCTCCCAAAAGTATTGTGCAATACTCTCCGCTTTGAGGGCCCTGACCTACGATCGTTTGACATGAGAGGGTGGACTGGTCATCGACATCAGGAGGTTGGGAGCCAAATGAAACAGCAAATAAAAACCTAACAGCTGTGACACTGCGGCATGTCAGGGATGTGTCAACATGTCAGACTCTGGGATAGAAGTCGCGGCTCAGGTCAAATCAGGAAAGAAAAAACTGTCAGTAATAACAACGCTGCTTCCAACACAGAGGAGAAAACAGAGAGAAAACCTTTCAATTCCATATGTGTCAGGAGTTTCTGAGATAACCTTTGAAGATCAAAATATCTAGATGTGGACAGGGAGGACAGATGGTTTAATAGAGGAGTAAAGGAAGCCATCTTTGTTAAAAAGGAACCTGAACAGAGGCCGTTTAATTTGTTTGTGGCTGAGAAATTACAAGACATACAAATATTTAAGTATTTAAACAATTTTAAAACTCTATCTGCCTATATTATTATATTCAGTTGTTGTTTTATCTTTTTCTGGCAGTTCTTTTTAATTACGTATCAGTCTGGTTTTAGTCCCTTATCAGCAGTGGTGGGTTCATAGTCTACATTTAAATATATGATAACAAAAGGGAGTACACAATTATGTACAACACTAAAAAAAACTAAACAAAAATAAAGTATAAACGATTAAACACACTATACAGCGGGGGGAAAGTATCTACGGTAGTTTAGAAAACGCTGCAGTTTTTAAGAAAATGGTATACTCAGATCAAGTAGAAAATTGCTAAGATAAAAATTAAACAGCATCTCAGCAAAACTCTACTGACCTAAATTCTCAATGGGAAGAATTAGTTTAATAGAAATTTGTTCTATATAAACATTTAGTTTATACAGATATAGTTTTATCAGTGAAAATTGTATTTTTGAAGTCAATTATTGCACTGCTAGATAAAGTCACATTTTACCAGAAAGCAAAGCAAACATACCACCTCTGAATTGTTAAAGAAAATTATAGCTCATTAGTTAAAATTTGATGCATTTCACATTTTTAAAACTCAACATTTCAAAGCGAAATTTCAGGTTTGGTTTTGTTCAAAAGTATTTTCAAAAAATAAAACTAGCTTCAAATATTAAGTTTAAAAAGTTTTATTTTTCAAGATCTAATGCATACAAGAAATATTTCAATTACAAAAAAATGTTTCAAATCATAATCTCCACAATAATAGTTAAATATTTGAAGCAGGGATCTTCTACTAAGGTGTAAAGATTAGCACAAGAAGGATTTACCACATATGAAGAGCATGCTAATTGAAATGGAAGACACAGAAAACCTTCAAGTTTAATAAAGTCAACCAGCCCAGAAATAGTCAATATTACTCAGAACGTTCATTTCCACATACAGCACTAGATATATCGGATCATTTATCATGAAGAATCGTGTCTAGAGAGTTCCCAGGTATTTGTTATTTGACAGTGTGTGTTTTTTTAAGTCCAAAATAAGAACTGATTGTAAGGCACAGATCATCACTGATTGTCATGGAACAAAAAGTTAAATATTCTCGCCTGCCATTTTCTCCTAATGTTTGCTTCTGTCGATGACAACCCAGCTCTTATATGCTGTATTGCTTTATTTCTACATACAAGTATTGAAAAATGTATGAACAAATGTGAATGTCTATAACAACATAAAAAAACAACCTAAAACCAACAAAAAAAAAAAAAGAAAAAATTGCATATTGAAATTTGAAGTCCTCTGCTTCTTTTCTCCTGCTTAGGAATGCAAAAACATAAACGGGAGTGTGAGCTGCAGAAACTTAGCAGTGTGTTCATTCTGCTCTGCTCCATGTCAGTCAGACTTGTCTTTCTTTTTGCTGCCTCCTAGTGGAACTTTGTTGACGACTGCAGACCCGACGGCTGTCACTCCGCCCGCCACAGCACACACTCCCCCCTTCACCAGCCCCACCCCCATTGCAGGCACGGCTGCCACAGTGCAGACTGCTGTCTTAGTGAGGTCCAGGCTCTTTCCTCCTATCCATGTCACGCCGCCAACCGTTGCTTTCGTGGCTCCGTACAACCCCCCCGCCAATCGGCCGAACATGCCTGGTTGCGTCTGTGGGTGGTCCTTATTGCTGTCTGATGATTTAAAACAATGAAAACAACATGATTAGGTTTATCAGTTACAGGATGCATCAACTTATAATAAGGTAGTTTTTGGAGGACTGATTATCAAACTTGTGACCAATAATGACAAATGAAAAAAGATCGTACAGGACGAAGAATAAAAACATTGTTCTAACAGATAGGACCTGTGCATCATGTTGATTCTGTCTTCCATCACACAGTAAATACTAAGTGGCCGTTTGTAGCCGCTCGGATGTTATCAGTTTATCAGTCCCATGGAATGGCTTCAGATTGTGCCAGTAGGCTCAGTGGGTTGTTATCATCGATTGAATCCTAACCCTAAAGTAATTCCTTTTCACCTGCAGAATTAATGAATCTATTTATGTGTAATCTGAAATAATTTTAGTATTTCTTCATGTACAGTAAAAATAAATAAATAGAAATAAAATGGTTTGCATGTCGGTCATATTAAGCAAACCAAAAACATATAAATCTCATATCGTGTCAACTGAGTTGTAAAATCATCTCTCTATAATTATTTCATTCTCTATGAAAAAGTGCCAATCATTCTTTAAGAAAATCCACGTCAAATGGACGTGCAATGTTTGTTTTTAAAACCTAATGTATCTAATGGACCTAGTTAATGATTTCTGTTTTATTTATGTACAAAACTGTGAGTAAAATTGTACTAAATCAGGAAATAAAACAACGTGATTGGCTGTAAGGAGAGCGGAGACAGAGGAGAATCTGAGTTTACTGAAGAAAACCTGCTCCAGACCAGGTTAGCTCTGGGGAGGATGTTACTACGGTAACTGAAACAAAGGTTGAGGAAACTCTCTTTGTGAAACGGAAAAGTCAGAGTTTCCCTGATTTCAGGTTTAGAACACCTGGGAGTTTTCAGAAATACCTACTTCATGAAACGGACCCCAGGTCTGTCATCATTTATCTTCAAAACAATGCATTTCTTGGAGATCAGAATGACGGTGGAGTGTTTTAAGCATGAAGGAACCTCACACAGTTCCAGAAACTTGTTGGAGATCTAAGAGAAAATTTGTGGCCAACTGGTCGGTGCAGGTTCTCGGGCAAGATGCTGGGAAAGTGCTGAGAAAATATCAGTATCCAAATTTTAAAAATCCTGCAACAACATAAATACTACCCAGCAAAGATGAGGTCATTAATCTAATAGCAGCAGCAAAAATATAGATTTCTGTTTGCAAAATGAGCTCAAGGCCGGAGAGATGCCTTTAAGCTTGTAAAAAACGAACAAGTCAGGGAATTGCTATCAATACATCTGGGCCAAAATACAGGAGGCTTGCGGACCCCTCTGGAAAGAACTAGTTCTGTCTGAATGTGCTGTTCTCATAACTCATACAAGCTTAATGTGTCCACATACAGCTGTACTATATAGTGGACTTTATAGCAAACTCACTTAACTGACCGTGCGGAAAGACAATCACTGCTTCTTTGCTCTGTTGGTTACGTAACTCCTCCTCTACCACGTGGTGCCTGCGCCATCTTTGTTATGAGTCCCTGCTGTCGGGTAGCGACAGCCTATGGCAACAGCACGCTGCTGTGACAGCAAATCCCAGAATGCTTTGCGTGGAGAGCTCTCTGTGCAAAAAATTCTGGGGTATATCTGTATATTCTGTACTTTTTTATCTCTGCTTCTGTCTCCTTGAACCCCAGTCGGCCTCGGCAGATGGTCGCTCAAGCTGAGCCTGGTTCTGCTGGAGGTTTCTTCCTGTTAAAAGGGAATTTTCCTCCCCACTGTCGCTACAAGCATGCTTCGTGTGAGGGATTACCATTAATGAGTTTTTGCAATCAACTGGTTTGCCTTTGATAGACAACTGATAGAAAACTGAATCAATTTGACTGTATAATCTGGTGAACTGTAAAGTGCCTTGAGATGACGTGTGTTGTGAATTGGCACTTTATAAATAAATTGAATTGAATTGAATTCTTAAGGCTTTTCTTTTCTTCTCATACACTTTGTAGACACTTTTTCTCTTACAACCGCGGTGAGAAATGTGAGCTTCAATGACTGTCTGAAACCGTAGCTCACCACATATATAGACTGAAAGTGCGCGTGCGCAGAAAAAGAGAGCTAACAGGGCGAGCACGTAGGACGGCCTTAGGCAAACATATCACCAGAATGTTTGACAATTAGGAGGACCACTTATTTAGATGATCCACCCGGAAATAAAAGATCATCTTCTGTACCTTTAAGCAATATAGCACCTGCAGTCACATGGTCCTATTATGGCAATTATAAACAGAGGGCTTTGTTTACTAACAAAAGAAAAACAAAGGATGATGAAAGTGACTTATAATAAACCAATTGTGCATGAATTCATAGAAACAATCTGATTTCTAGTTTCCATTGTGTTACATTGAGAAATGCTGCGAAACAATCTGAGCTTTCAGGGTAAATAAGCAATGAGGAGGATGTTTCAGTGATAAAAAAAAACAGAACTCTAGCGTCCACAGAAGTCTTTCTGTGTTAGTATAAATGACTGTTAGATGTTCATCGGGTATGTTGTTATTTAAACTAAAAGCTGCATTCCTGGATTTTCTTTGCAAAAGGGAAATTCCTTCACATCAATTCGGCCAACCCCACCCTCATCCAAAAGGTATTTTAAGTCAAAACCCTTCCTTAGTAGACTATCCTTTGAGGTGTCAAAGGGCTTTTAGAGCTGAGCTTACCTGAAGCTGCTGTCTCATCTGTGTGGCATGCGGGCATGTCCTCAGGCACCTGCTCAGCCTGACTCATCTGAGAACAGAAATAGCAAAAATCACCATGCTGACACACAAGATGAGGATTACAGCAGCGGGGGTTATAATTGTCTGCAATATCAACAGGATTGTTTTTAAACATGAGACAGATTTCTGATTAAAATCATGCAAAAAGTAACTTAAGGGTTCTATGCACAAACCTGGAATACAGACAAATACAACATATTCCTCAAAGATCTTGAATTTGCAATTATTTTCGCTCTATGAGGGGCTATAGTGAGAAATCTGGAGGTTTATCCTGATGTGGAAAACATTTCTTACAAATAGAAAACCGTTCCAGTAAGAAAACACAAACATGATTCCAGGAATTTCAGTTAAAATAACTTTTCATTATATACAAAATGTTTTTATATTTTTATGTTATTTTATCAAGGTATGGCATCAAAAACCTTCACCTAAAGATACTGAAGCTAAATCTAACATAAGGTATATAATACGCTTAAGCTGAAAGACAGCAGTAGAGGATAGCTTCTTGTGAAGATAAGGGAGTGTGCTTTGGGTGTGCTGCCACTACCAAAAACAAGGCCGACCTGTTTACGGACCAGAACTAAGCTGAACAATGTGTTAAAAAAAAAAGAAGAGTTATAGGATGGTAACATTAAAGCTAAACTAAAACAATCTTTTGTGTCAATTCTGCTGAGATAAAATAATTTAATGAAACAACTGTGGATCTTGAGGAATGCTAAAGTTCCACCTAAGAATGTTTCTCATTGTTTTTTATTATCTATTTGTACAGACTGGCAATGAAATTTTACCTTTCTTTTACGTTTAAGTCGCAGTAAATTTCATAACTTTACTATTTGTTTATATACCCCTACTCCACAACTAGTTTCAATAAAAACAAAAATATATAAAAAATTTAAAAAATCCAAGAAATATTCATAGCAACTAACTAAACAAAAAGGTGTCGTCCCTGAAACCAAAGGCTGTAGGTTTGATTCCATCAACCCCAGCAAGCCTAGTGTAGGAGTATGTGCATCTTTAAATTTTGGTGAAAGTGATGAAAATGCATGGGATGATCAGTAGGACTAGAAAAGAAAAAAGCACCATAAAATCAGTTCAACAGTGTGTTTAACATGCACACTTTGTTATAAAGATGCTCATCTTCCTCTAAGCAGCACACCATAGATCATCTATAGTGTTTAGGTCAGCTGAATAAGTCAGCCAATCAAAATAAAATTGACCATAAAGTACTATAAAATTCCTGATAGATTGCTGCTTTGATTATGGACTATGGATAAACAGATGCTAAGGCTCCTCAATTCACAGAATACAGCGGGAGTCTCTGTGTTTGGGCCTCTCCACTCTTTCCCAAAACTCCTGAATTTCCAAATAAAAAACATGAAATCATCTTGAAAGAGGAATTTATGGGACTGAGCAAACATTCACTCTTAGTTTTCCAGAGTTACTTCTGAAATATCTGTTGGATTGAAGGCAGAGATGTCAAGTAACAAAGTACAAATACTTTGTTACATTACTTAAGTACACTTTTTAGGTATCTATACTCTACTCCATTACTTATTTTTCTTCCTATTTCTGACTTCTACTCATTACTTTTTCACACAAGTATCTGTACTTTCTATTCCTTACATTTTTAAAACAAACGTTACTCGTTACTCCTGGCTTTGGTTTAATGTTTATAAATATTTATTTCACGTCATGTGCGCCATCCCCTGCAGATCATTGGCGTCATCCACATCTAGTGAAAACTAGTGTAATTGGATGAGTCATATAACGCAAACACTCATTGGTTAGCTAAAGGAAATCATCAGAAGCAAGCAGGTGTTCTTCAAACTGTAAACACGAATTGTCTATGCCATGCTACAATGTTGGATTCAGAGAAGATGTTGAAATGTCTGAAAGGTCGGACACAGGAGAGAGCGTATCGGGGGACGGAGACCAACAAGACCTCCCACATCCTTGGCCCTATCTCAAAGAATTTTCAAAATAGTCGAACAATTGAGCTTTCAATTCACTTTTTAAAGTTTACTTTATACTTTTATACTTAAAGTAGATTTTGGAGCAACAACTTTTTCACTTTTACTTGAGTAAAGAGATCAAGTTGATACTTCAACTTTTACCAGAATGTTTTTAAACTGCAGTATCTATACTTCTACTTAAGAAACAAATGTGTAGTTTTGACACCACTTGTTGAAGTCAAGCTGGGCTGTTTGTATTAAATACATCCTGATGTCACCTTTAAATTCAATAATTGGGGAGTGTTGGCCTAATGGTTAGAGCAGTGCGCTTGTGCTCTGAGAAGGTTGATCCCCACAGCCTGCACTCTGGGTCCCTGAGCAAGACCCTTAACCCCACACCGCTCCCTGGGAGCCACACAATGGCGGCCCACTGCTCCCTGAAGAGGATGGGTTAAAGCAGAGATAACTTTCTCCAATGTGAGATCAATAAAGTTGATTCATTATTATTAATAATAAACATGTTAATTCATTAATATCAGGAATATGAAAAAAAACATATCTAACTTTTAACTTATCACATTGTGAGGTTTTACAAATGACTGTAATCATGATGCAATTTAAGCCACAATGACTGATGTTTATCATCTGACTTCATTTATAATAACAGCTTAAGGGGATGTTTAGGTGTTAAAATGCCACTCTGCTTTACAGTTTCTAGATCAAACCACCAACCTAGAGTCACGTAACATAGATGGACGAATAAAAGATGAAAACAAAGCAAAACTTGATTGAAGAAGTGACCGATGATCTCATGAGTTGACTTTAAATGAACATTTTAAGGAGGTTAGCCAAAATAAAGAACGTTCTAATACGTCGTTAAGTTTACGACAGATTCCGATACGCCTGGTTTGTTTGTTTTACACGAAACCTGCCAGATATAAACGACTTTGAAGAGACGTTTGCGTTCACCTTCAACCGCTCGAGCTTTTAACGTTAAATGTGTGGAATCTTCTAGCAGCTACGTCACGTCCCCTACCGATTTTCAATTGTTTTTTTTTGTTGTTTTTTTTTATTATTCACGCATTTTTTCCCCCATCGAAGTAGAAATAAATATCAGAGTTGACCCTGAAGCAACGATCAAAAACCGAAAACATCATGGTGGTGAAGTTGTAATGGCTAACTCACGTTAAACTGATCCCTAACGGTCCAAAATAACACCTACCTTTCTGTTATGTTGGCTAGAAAAACATGAAAAAAACCCCTAAAATATTAAAAACTCCAGTAAGTTGCTGTATAGGTTTGAACAAAACAAAAACAAAAATGACATATGCAAAAATTAAGTGATCTATCCTCGATTTTGGATCATCGAAGGTGCTGCATGGAGTGAAGCTGCTTGGTGATGACTGTTTTTAGGAGGAGGATCTCCACCCCCACCCACAAAGCACACAGACGGTACAGTCTGCAAACTCTAGCTCTGGAACTGATGCGCTTCACCACCACATATGAAATGGCGATGCAAATAAAAGCAATTGCTCCCCTTTGCAGTTGTGTAGATAAAAAAATAAATTATGTTTTTACATGAATTTATGTCAAACACGTCATAATGGATGTCTGGGGTGCCGCAGCTGAAGAGAAGATTAAAGATTCATAATCTATGAAGAAAAATCCCACCCCAACCTTTTCTCAAACTATCACTCGTTATTGGCGGGAGGGTATAAAAACACGAATTCAAATGAACTTAATCGTAATTAGGCCTGTCTGTGCTTAAAAACTGATCAAAACAAACTAGTCCCGCCTCTTCCGTAGGGCGGAAGTGACGACAGAGCTGTTTTTGCGACCTTAAAATAAAGATCGTTTCTTAAAGCAGATGAATTAATGGGATGAAAACAGTGGAACGTGTGTTAACGTCAGCACTTAAAGACAATACTGAATAGAGAGAAAATAGCACTTTCTATGATAAATATTTTAGGAAATAAATGATAGAAATAAAAAAAAAACATTGGGGTGTATAATCGCATTTAAAGTATGTATATAGGTTTGTGTATGCAAGTGCATATACACACATAGAAACTGATATGTGAGTGTGTATGGATATAAATATGCGGATCTGTGCATACCATGGAATTATAATTGTATTATTAATTTCACTCTGACGTCATTGACAATAACACTCCAGTCTGGTAGGTGGCGGTAAATGCAGCTAAAGTTGGTTGCCATCCACAAAAAAAAAACGAAGAAAAAAAAACCAAGAGAACAAGACCGCAGGCGAATCAGCAAAAATTTAGATTTCAGAAGTGATCATTTTTAAATATAACTCATATATAAGTTCAGTGTGTTTTCTAGTAGCAGTAGTTTGTTTCCTGCTGTATGGAGGACCAACTCTGCCATATTTATTAAACCCTCTAAGACAGCGGTCCCCAACCACCGGGCCGTGGACCGGTACCGGTC